TTCGCCAGTGCCAGTCACGACATATCATGAATTGGTAGAAGTTGGAGTTTATTGGCTGGCCATTTATCTGGCTGGTCCCAGTGGCTTAATGGTCTACGAGCTCTCTGGCCTTGTAACCGGAAGATCCTGGTTATGAACAGCAGTGGATGCGAACTGTTGAAGAGTTCATAATGCTAGGAAGAAACAGTTGTCCTGTACTCCCTGGTGGTTTTCCAGTGGTTCTCTAACTGATGTCAGCTCACGACGAAATCCTGTGTCCAGTCAAATCCCTGCAAACAGTCTGTCCGGCTAGCACTCTGCAAAGGGATTTCAATTTAGATACATACTTGCACTGATGTCACCAAAAACTTTCTCCTGTAACCAAATACCTCGTTTTGAAAATGACCCAAATTCTAGCAGTCTCGAATGTCCCAATGGCGGGTTACTTCTTTCTCTCAACTTCGCCAACTTTAGAAATACCTTCGATAGTGTCGACCGTGAATTAATTTCTCAACTGCTTCATACATTATGGAGTGCAGTGAACGAACTTTTATCAGCCTCATTCAACAACTGTGTGATGATGATGGTGTCAAAGGTCAAGTGAATCACAATGGAAAACTCAGAGAAGCCTCTAAAGTGGAAACAGCAGTAAGACAAAGCTGCCTACCATCACTGACGACATCGATATCTGTGGTTCCCTGAATCATACAACAGACTAAAGGGGACGAGAAGGAGGGTAAAGTTGGGCCGACGAAAACACTCTGGAAGATCTGTTTAATATCAGATAGCCGTCATTGAAGACAGGATTTCAAGTGAACATAGGGGAGACCGAATTGATAAAGATAACCAACCAACCAATCAAGCAACAGCAGCAAGCACTAGCCAATATCAACTAGAAAAATTTGAAGAATGTCGTCATTTCCAACCATCTAAACCTCATCGTTCCAACTGATAACAATAACTTGCTGTATTGCCAAACAGTACTTCTGATACAATGTGGAATCCTCCACATTTTAGTACAATATCCCATCTAATTAACTCGACAGCAGCAAAAATAAACAAAAAATTATTACAGGGTAAACGAAACCAAGATGGATAATAGCACCTTTTTGGTATTAAGCCAGAAATGTACAAAAGGTGTAAAATAACGATGATGATAATAATATTCAAGTATTGGTTTGCATGGATTTTGATTGATGGGTTACAGGGTTTGATCATGAACTGACATCGGTTAGTGAACCATTGGAAAATCAGCCGGGACTACTGCCAGACAGCTGTTTCGTCAGCCCAGTTTGGAACTCTTTAGCAGTATGTATCTACCAGATCGGTTCGAACCCAGGGTCTCCGGGCTACAAGGCGAGTTTGTGGACCCAATCCAGTGGACAGCCCATCAATTCTAGCTTCTGCGAATTCATGACATAGTGCCATCAATAGCCAATGTCTTCGGCGAGTATTCGTCTCCACACACGACCTGCCATACCCTACTGGTGCTGAGTTCGAACCCCATCGGTGAGTGCGTACTGATCAACAATCCAAAACTGAGCTGACGAAACAGCTGTCTGGCAGTACTCCCAGGTGGTTTCCCAACGGTTCTCTAACCAATGTCAGCTCATGATGAACTCTTGTAACCGGATAATAATATTAATAGCTAAAATTATAGGATAATTTAAATACTGTCACTATAGATTACGAATAGGAGATGGGGATAAAAGAGCCGATTATTTTACTAATCACATGGTAAGTCTTAGATTTCTCACTTAACACAATCTCCATCATACAAAATGCAGGAGAAATATGGTATCGTTGAGTTCCTGTACTTAGTTGTGCCAGTGAGCATATAATCTTGTTTAATGACTTCTAGTCCTACCTGATGAGATGGAAGTGGAGGGGGGGAGAGATGAGAATAGAGGGGGTGTTGAAAGTCAGACAGTATGGATTTAGACCATTTCTCACATGGTTTCAAGTTCTGTCGACTATAATAGTAGTGAGATGACTTAGTGGAACATTAATTCCCTACTGACAACTTCTAATACCCTTCTCCTCAGCAGGATTTAGTCCTTTTTGAGTAGTCCAGGAAAGACTAAGGTGGTGGTGGGGAGGAGCAGTAAAGACGAATGGGTAAGATGCAAGAGTCAAAAAATTGTAAAATCAAAGGTTGAGTGATTCCTGATTGTCTTCTTCTTCTTCATATGGAAGGTTGGACGGAACACTTTCTTAGAAATTGACAAGATACGGGATGACCAAGAAAGATCAGAGGATGGAACTATTCTAAGGTACCTAATTCTTGACTTAGTTACTGTTTCAGTGCCCACTACGCTGCCATCACCCCATGGATGGACCAGTTGTTGTAGATCACGTTTATGCCTGAAGGCGGAGTTAAATGTCTGATATTTAGAGGAATATTTAGGAATTATTCACCTCAGACCAGTGGTTGATGTACAACGAATAGGTATTGAATTTGGAACAGTTAGATCGTGAAGTAAGACGAAACGAGACAGTCAGATCATAGGCGAATTTAACGAAGCTGATCTCATCCGAAAGAGGTAAGTGATGTAAGAAAAGAGGAAAATGAAGAAGAGAGAGTGAACAGCACCTTGAGGGACTCCAGCTTCATTAACAAAGGTAGAGAAACATTTGCCTTTAAATATACATAAAAACTACGAGCGTCGCTGATAAGGATGATAAGGACAGATCTTTATTGATTTGATGTAAGTGTGGAAATCTGTTGCACTCATAGACTTGGCACACTCGTCATCAAAAGCATATCAAAGAGGCTGCATACTTATATCAACAGTTGTCTTCTGTGACTCCGTAGTGAAGATCAGATGAACATTAAGAATAGGAAATACAGAAAATGTGCCGGCGAATCAGCTAACAACCCTGAAAATATGCAGAGGGAAACTGAAATAGATTGGACAAAAAACCTTAAGGAGAACGATAAGGGGCACTACATGACAGTCAAGCTGTCGAATCCAAACTGGAATGGAAACGGGTGAGTTGGAGTTCCGTGGATGACATTGGAAAAGATCATCTGATGAGGACAGCATGAAAGCTGGAAGGAGAATTCGTGAAACCAGGTGAAAATAATATCAACGAACTACGTGTGTTGAAGACACACACCTGAGGCACTATATTCAACTCGAAAAACTCCGCACGAATAAAATTCATAATAATAATCCTGAACAATGACTATACATTAGACTGACAGCCAGTTAATCAAATAAGACTATTTTTGGAGTCGTCCACGCCTACTTTCTGCAATGATTTTCCTGATTGCAGTAGACTGGTAGAGAGAGGGCAACGGGGAGATAGGCATAAAATTAACCCATACAAAATAGCTTGCGGGATCTGGATTTCGCCGATGATATATGTCTGTTTTCTCACAAACTGAAAGATATGCAAGTGAAAAGCAACAAGTTGGCTGTGGAAGAAGCATCAAAGATAGGACTTCCTGCAAGCAAACATAGAGAAAACAGATGTGGTGAAGATTCCTGGCCAACAGCAATAGCAACAAAACCAGACAACAATCAATCAGCACAAATGGGAGAAATCAGAAAGAAGCAACCTCCTTCATCTACGTACCTACTTTGGAAGCATCGTTTCAACTACAGCTGAACGGAACTGGTAAGGATATCAAAGTGCGAGAATCGGGAAAGCAATTCAAGCTTTCATTATTTCAAGTCTGTATGGAGACCAATAACGCTCAGCATGATAAATAAGATCCGAATTTTCAACTCCATGGTGAAGTCAGTGCTACTATGCAGATCACAGAATTGGTGTCGCGTCACGAAGGGCACTTCGAACAAACTACACGCTGCTGAATACTACCCAAGATCGAATAGTCGGCCAGGAGAGGTCAGCAATAGTGAGAGCAAACCAACTCAGCATGAACCAGTTATGGAACAAATATGCAGGAAGAAATGGAGGTGGATTGGATTGGTCATACTTTGAGAAAACAAACCATCAAGTGACATCACACACTAGGCTCTCTCCCTGTTGAGTGGAACGCGAATGGGAGGTGGCGAGTTTGTCGTCAGTGTAAGGGCGACATTTAGTAGATGATGCGAAGAGAAGCATGTCGGCAGAAGTGGAGCCAGGTGAAAAGGTTGGCAGAGAGCCGGACGCAATGGAGACGTGCGACTGAAAACCTATGTTCCTCTAGGAAATAAAGGAGACGTCCACTGCTCAAGGCTAATCTGTTGTATAAAAGGGAAGATTTATTAGTCAGAGATGGGAAAACAATCTACTAGAAAGTTGTCAAATGTTCACAATAACTTCAATCGATGCATTTATGTGGACATTTAGCGACCGCAGATGCTTACAAGATCTCAAAGCATAATCCCAGTGTACACCATACTAGAAGATAAGCTTACCGTAATAATAAAGCTAACAAATACCTACAAACTTTGACTGGACACTAGTTTGTTACTAGCGAAATGTGCCTAGTCCTCTGTTTGCTGCAGAATGAATTCTGTCGTCACTCAAGTGTGCAATTTGGCTACCATTCCAGCTGGGGCGATTTCAAGCGCACTCTGAGTTGTTGTTGCTGTTGCCAGATGGTCGAAGGCAGTCAGCCACAGGAAGCCCTGTTTGACCTAGGTTACATGCCAACTGTCACTCATCAGTCAGCAAGGTGTATCTGCAATCTTGAAGGAACTGAGGTCCCATTTGATGGAATTTGGTCTGCACCAAACAAAAGATTAGACATATTATGCAAGTTACTACCTAGTATCCAATCAAAATATCCACTTCAGTCCTACAGGAGGTCAATCGCGAGCCTGAATAGCTCAGTGTTAACGTCTCTGACTGCAGGACTGCACTGGGTGACGTGGGTTTGAATCTCAAGAGGGACATGAGTTCCTTCAAGGTTGCAGATACTCCTTGCTGACGAGTGCCAACTAGCACGAAAACTAGGTCCCTACAGTGTTTCCTGCAGACTGCCTTCAACGACACTTGCAAAATAAATCAATATCGAATAAGAAAACAGAATCAAACTTGGCATAGTAGAAATCAATACTCACCTCTGTGAATACAGTTGGTTTACTCAAATCCGATTTCCTTCCGCTTACATCTCTTCTTAGATCACCATAACGTGAGACAGACTGGTAGCTGCTTTTACCTCTTCCACTGTCTATAACATCATCTTTATTATTAGTATTATTATTATTGCCACTGTTTGCGGAGGAATAACGTGAAATCGACGGCGAATCCATTGTAATCATACCGGGTGATATTAATGATGTTTGTGAATGTGCTGGCGTCAGCAGATCGACAGCTGCTTCATGCGCTTTATTCAGCTGGGACCAAACAATCGCTTGTTGATTCGTCATTTCAGCATGTGACAGTCGCATGTTGGATTCAGCAAGTTTACTCATCAATTCCATTTCTTTAATCCGTTGACCAACTTTAAACTCTCGATGCTAAATTATCATTATTTTAAAAAAGTTAAAAAAAGGCGAGAAAAGAAGATATTGATTAAAAGACTGTATATACTACTAATTGATTAATCGATCGAAATGAGTAGTTCGGAACTACACGATCAGTCAAGTTTACAATGTGGCCACCATTCTAGGTGGCTGGCCATCACGGTAAACTGTGAACTGTTGGTATTAAATGGTTGGACATGATTTCCTTCAAGGTTGAAAAATACGCCTCGCTGATGAGTGCCGACTAGCACGAAACCTAGGTCAGGCAAGGCTTCCTGTGGTCGATTGCCTCTAATCATCTAATACGAACAAGTTCTCCGCCTGTTTGGCGATGAACTCTTTAGCACTGTACATGGTTTGACTCAACTCAGAAGGCTAAATCAATTTACACTATCCGAATATCGACTTAATATTTTGTTTGTCTTCTTGGTTGCTATTTACGGTATCAAGCAGATCACATATTGTGACTTGAATATTTTTGGTTTCCCAATGAAACTGTGGCAGTTTGTCACCTCAGGATGTGTAATTTTGCGAATGACGTTTTAACCTGCCTACTTGTCATTATTATTATTGTTTCCTTTGGTTCCTGGAGGAACATAGGGCTTCAGCCTCACATCTCCATTGCGTTCGGTTCTCCGCCAACATTTTCACCTGGCTGCACGTCTGCCTACATACTTTCATCTTCTCTTCACATAAACTCCTCCATGTCAGCCCACCCTTTCACTGACGACCAACTCGCCATCTCCTGTTCTGGTTCCACTCGACATGGAGAGAGCCTAGTGTGTGATTTCACTTGATGGTTTGTTTTCTCACAGTATGGCCAATCCACTTCCATTTCTTCCTGCATATTTCTTGCACAATTGCTTCTTGCTGGGTCGGTTCGTTCATTGCCAGAGATCCCTCCCTACTGCTGATCTCTTTTGGCCGTCCGTCTGATCCTGATTAGTATTGAGCGAAGATAGCTGTTGATGAAGGTGTGTGGTTTGTTCGAAGTGACCTTCGTGGTGTGACACTGCGCGGCGCCAAGTCTCTAATCCATCCGTATAGTAGCACTGACTTCACATTGGAGATGACAATCCGGATGTTATTTTTCATGCTGAGTGCTGTTGATCTCCACACAGACTTGAGAGTAATGAAAGCTTGCCTTCGACGCTTCTTCTGCCAACTTGTTGTTTTTCACTTGCATATCTTCCAGTTTGTGTGAAATCAGAAATATATCATGGGCGAAATCCAGAACATCAAAGCTTTTGTCGGGGTCCATTTTATGCATGTTTCCTCGCTGCTCATTCTCTGTCAGTGACATTATCCAGTCTACCGCAATCAGGAAGTTAATCATTGGAGATACTAGGTAGCCTTGTCTTACTCCCGTCTTCACTTAGAAGGATTCCGTCAGTTTCCCATTGTGGATTACTTGGCACGCAGCATTATCGTACAACTGTTGTATGAGGTGTATAACTGTTGGCGGCACCTCGTAGTAGTGAAGTAGTTGTCAAATCACCTCTCGATCGATGCTTTCTGCTGTAGGCCTTTTCAAAGTCGATGAAGTTGAGTGAGGTAGAGAGCTAATTGCATTTCAAGCTCTGTTCAATAATGATACGTAGTGTTGTGACTTGTTCGATGTATGACTTGTTCTTCCCGAATCTAGCCTGCTCCGGTCGAAGTTTTTCATCCAGAGAGTGTCTGATTCTCTCCAGGATGATGTGGCTTAGTATTTTGCCTGGGATAGACAGAAGCATAATGTCAAGCCAGCTCTTGCATTGACCCAAGTCTCTTTTCTTTGGCAGTTTGAGTAGGTAGCCTTTTCTCCAATCATTAGGTAACTTGCCCTCTTTCCTTACCTTCTTCAGTAGTGGTGTCATCAAGTCTTTGGGTCCATTTTCAATGCTTCTGCTGAGATTCCGTCTCGTTCTGCTGCTTTTCCAGCTTTTAGCATCTTGATTGCTTTCAGGACTTCTGTTCTCGTCGAGGGGTTGATGTTCACTGGTAGTTCTGTTTTCGCTGTTGGTATTATTGAGCGCGTTGTAGGTGGCAGTCGGTTCAGTAGTCTTCTGAAGTGTTCAGCCCAGTGTTTCCTTTGCTCCACCTCTTAGGTAATTGCCTTCCCACTGTCATCCTTCAATGGCTTAATTTGTGTCAAACTTTTCCCCGATAGGTACCTAGTTGTTTGGTAGAGTGTTGCGAGGTCTCCTTTGCCTGCAGCTTGTTTGGTTTCACTTGCCATAGTTTCGTAATATTTTCTTTTCTCCACCCTGACGCTCTTCTTTACTCTTTTGTTCAGTGTGTTGTAGCTTGCATTCATCTCCTGTTTTTGTTGCTCGTCGATTCACTGGATAATCTTTTGTTTCACCAACCTTCTCTCTTTTATTAGTCTCCATAAATATGTGTAACTATTATTGCTCATTAATAACATTTCATCTATCATAGAGACTTCATTTAATCACTTTATCATATTTCTACTATCCTTTTTCCATTTTATCTAACCAGAGTGGTCATGTCATTTGTTTCACCCTTATTACATAATACTAGTTTTTCATGTCTAGAAATACTCATTTACTATTAATAACTCTCACGGTAGGTCACGAACTGACTTCATTTAGACAGCCACTGAAAGCCAGAGAGTACTGGACGACTGTGTCACCCTAGTTTGTGACACTTCAGCAGTATGCACCTATAACTCCTACAGGGACCACGTCATGCGAAAAAGCACTAATAAATAATGACAGGATAAAGTTGTCTGGAGTTGTATTTGGAAGTCGTGACAAATAACAATGACTGGCGGTTGAACCAAACATATGACTAACTGGCAGAAGTGGATAACCACTTTGTGAGTCGGTGGCACAGCGGTAGAATGTTCGTCAACCACGGCTGTGGCCCTGGGTCCGGTTCGCGGCCGACTCACTCCCTTACTTCTCTAAGCTAGAAACAAGAGTGGTGAAGAGGAAAGGTTGGGTATGAGGCTAGCAACCCCATTCCGTAAAATGAAACACCACTGCTACAAAAACTCCAAGCCTCTAGCTGGAAGCCCTATGTTCCACTGGGAACCTGAAGGAATACAGAAACTGGTAGAGGTTAGGGTTCATGGGAGTTTAGATGTCAATCTATTGGCTAAATAGTGTGAGGATTGGTCTCATGACTTGAATCTCCTAAGTGTGATCCGCGGAGGGTCTGTCTGTCTGTTTTCGACATAGAACTTTTCACCGATGTGCGGCAGTTCAAGTCGCCACACTCCATGTGGCACACAAAGCAAGAAAATAAAGTAGGAGAAATGCATATTAGAGACAGTAAACAGAGGTGTGAGACACAGGAATAGTAATAACGAAAAACAAAACAGTTTCATTTGAAATAAAAAGTCATAAGGAGTGGATGCATCTGCAACAGCCATTGAGAACGATGATTTTGAGCCATATCACCAATTGTTTGCAATTATTGGTTTTTACCGTCCCGATGACCCCAACTACAAAGTCTACACCTTCTTATGTGGCTTAAACTAACTGTTGTGGAATTCATTGACTGGCGCCATGTTTTGGTTTGACCGTCGCTAGCTCTTTTCCAGCCTGACCCTATATCAGCTAACAGTGCCCGTCAGTCGAGGAAGGCGATGACTAGGCATACGTAAAACATATCCTAACCATCTCAGTCGATATAATTTTACAGCCTCGTCAATTGATTTCCCCTCCTTACCTAGCACTCGACCGACACCTAACCTCAATATTGCTCATCTTACTATACCCCTTCACACGAGAGATAGAACGCATGCACCTATGATCAAAGACACATAGCCATACTTTTCATGTATTCCACTCTCAACGGCCAGGTCTCACAGCCATAAAGGAGGATGCAGCGGACTGATGAGCAGTGCACCCGCCCTTTGGTCGATAGCCATTTATCCTCCTAGGGTGGGGTCATGGGTGTATATAACTGAATATTCTCAAACAAGGACCGAAAATGGGTATAGAATACTCTGTGACTTTCAATGGTTCCTTAACGAATGCCACTTCATAAGTGACCAATCTTCCGGAGTCCAGCATTCACGGCCAGTTAATTTAACATGAATCAACATTTGCAGAACTTACTTCAGCTTCCAATTGAAAGATACGAGTTTGCAGATTTCTTATCTCTTGTCTTAATTCTCTATCATTGGCCACAGCATCTTCCAGCTCAGACATACGAAATGAATTAATAGCTTCCAGACGATCAATATGACGTTGAAGTGTTTGACATCTGGACTGTACTCTTAATACCTAAAAAAAAGCAAAAAATATAAAATACATGAATATATACACTCGGGAACTTAAGCAACTAATTAGCGAAGAATCTACTTTAGCAGAATTACTTAACAAGAAACGGAAATAGATTGTGAATATGTGGTGAGGGCTGTCTGCTGGCCAAAATTGTAGACAACAATTTACTTCCCAAATCGGGGTCGTGAGGGAAAACAAGAACAAAGCCTAGTCTTGAGGAACTCACCAGCCAATCACAATAGACTTAACGTGGGCAGATACGATTAGCAGACCGGCCTGTCTAAGAAACGGAAATAAAGAGATGACAAGTTGACCTTCAGCAAGAAAACAACCAATCAGAAGAAGTCGCTTCTCTGCTAACAACAACGTTAATAATAATGTACCTAAAAATCTATAAATATCTGTTGATTTTCTCAGTAAACGATCTGTTGCCTGGCCCTTGTCTTCTGTCGTTACAAATATGGGTCGCGGAGACAAATAACTGACATGATATATCAGGTAGACCGTCCAGCTAATAGAAATGAAATGTCAAGCAACCCCTCAGACTTGGATTTCAAGGTGACATTGAGAAGATCATATGAGAGTGAGAAAATGAAAGTTTTGTGGTCAGTCATGGTTCCATTTGAAACTGATGGTAAAATAAGTTGTGGAATAAAGGTGTAACACTGTAGTCTTCCGTATGTGTTCCACATGGAACCTAAGGAATGCATTTTAGTAATAATACATATCAAGTGTGTCGGTGGCATAGTAGTTAGGACGCTCGCCGATCCTGCACATGATCAGGGATTTGATCCCCGGTCGACACACAACTAAACCTCGCTAAATCAATAATCAGACTGGTAAAGAGGAAAGGTTAGGCATGAAGCTAACAACCCCATCCTGTAAGAATAATCCCCACTGCTACAGAAACTTCAAGCGTCTAGCTTGAAGTCCGATGTTCCACCGGGAACGTGAAAGAATTAAAAAAAACAACATATCAAGTGAATCCCACTGGTCTGAGATTCCGAATAGAAGTTCTTATTTATGGAAGTTAGGAAATTATAAATCTTAGTGGATGGTGACTCGTCAGATGAAAAGTCCCAAAAAGGACGAAATGCTTATCCTGGTGGACACCTTGTGCTAATCACTATCCACCAACCTACTTCAAGTTAAATCCTCAAGCATCATAAAAGCATTCGAATAGGGAGCCGATATGTCAACACCTGAGGCCGAGCACTTCGATCCAATCAGTCAATTGGAAAGTCCAGAATGAATTAAATAAACAGAAATCTTATTGATTTGTTTCAGTTTAGACCCAGATGAAACAAATTTTACATGTATATCAGTAGGTGTGAGAGCCAGATGATACCATCCAATTGTTATCACACATGCTAAGTTGAGTGGAAATGGACTCAAACCGTGGGTGACTAACTGTGACTCAACCTTACTTACGATAACACTGACTACTAATCAAAACGGCATAATACAGTCATGCATTGTTATTCAGTATTGAACATTTAGCGTTACTTGTTAGGTTTCGCATCTTTTCGCTATTCATCGGTAAATCCTTCCAGTGATACTGAATAGATATCATTGGATGACGAAATAAAATATTTTTCTGTAAGCACTTTTTACATATGAAAAGTTAACTAATATTTTATTCCGACATTAGGTTTACCCTTTAGAAGTAATGTAAGCGTCCCATAGTTCTCAGAGTTCGACTTCTGACCGACAACTTGACCCTAAGCCTTGCCTGATTTACTATACATGAAATTCATAATTTTCTTCTATTCATTTACTTTCCCAGTGGAACATAGGGCTTCAAGCTAGAGGCTTGAAGTTTCGGTCGCAGTGGTGTTTACTTTTATAGGATGGGGTTGCTAGCCTCATGACAGACCTCCCTTCTTTACCAGTGTTACTACCGGCTCAGCCAGTTAAAGGAGTGCGTCGGCCGGGTGATGAACCCCGGACCACATGCGTGATCGGCGAACATTCTGCCGTTGTGCCACCGTCACAATTAACTCATAATTAGAAAATGAATTCACAATTTGAAATTTACATAGTTTGAAGGGGTAAAATTTCAGCCCACACAGTTCCCTCTGAAAACCAAATTATTCAGATCACGCACACACACAAGCACACGGAGAGTTAAAAGATGGAGTACCTAGACTAACCACCTCTTCTTCTTGTATCTACCAATTCAACTGAGTTTTAGGGCGATTTATATTGGCCGTCGCTTTAGAAACTTGATTTTGTGTGCTCGGAGACATCTGCCAGTGTTGTGGTTAAATAAAGGTGCAATGAGAAGGGTCAACAGCTGATGATGAAATCTTGACACCAATCAAATTAAATTCCCTGCAGACCAAAACTTGTACATCAGAATTTTATCATGAACTGACATCGGTTAGAGGACCGTTAGAAAATCACCTAGGAGTACTGGACAAATGTGTCGTCCTAGTGCTTGGGACTATTCATCAGTACGCACCCGCCACCAGGGCTCGAACCCGGAACAAAGCAAGCAAGCTCGTAGATCAATCAGTAACTGGGGCCCAATCCAATGACCAACGCATGAATTCCAAGTTCTGTCAATCCACACAGGATATGATGTGACTATTAGCCAGTGTCATCTGTGTCTAGCATTTGTCCTCACACGGGACATGTTGTACTTCACTGACCAGTCTCGACTTCCCATTAGAACCCAGGTAACTGCTTACTTGAGTACGGCCGGTTGCTAGTGAGAATCAAATTAATATTCAAGTGTTGGTTTGCAGGGATTTGATTGGTTTCAGGATTTCATCATAAACTGACATTGGTTGGAGGAGAAATACTAGCCAGTGAACATAGGGAAGACAGAGGTGATGAAGATATCCGGCCAACCAACCGATAGCAACAGCAACAAGCAGCACAAACCACCATCAAAGGGAGAAATTTAACAGAGGCCCGATACTTCCTTCACTTATCTGGTCAGAAAGCACGGTTTCAGAAACAGGCACGCGGAAAGGATGAAGATGTCAAAGCTGGCCAGAATCAGAAAGGCAAGAAACACCCTCAACAACTTAAAACCATTTTGGAAAGCCTCTGCACTGCACTCAACCAGTATAACGAATAAGATTCTGTTCAACACAAATTGGAAGTTAGTCAATTCTGCTATAGGGGTCAGAAACCTACACTGCGTGTCACGAAAAGCATTTCCAACAGGCTAGTGCAGACTTTTATCAACAACTGCCACCTTCTCTGGCTCCTTACTGAAGATCCAAAAGCCAGCCGGCCGGTTAGAAAAAATTAGAGGCAAGAAACTCTGGCTGGAGACAAACCAATGAAGAGCCGGTCGCTAAACAAATATGTAGGAGGAAATGGAGATGGATTGGGCATACGTTGATGAGGCCGTCGAATTACTTCGTGCTCAATGCAGGCCATCACTCGAGTAGAATCCGAATAACAAACGGCGAGTTGAACATGTGTCCTAAGGTGGGTGACATGGAGTAGATCGTGTGAGAAGGATACAAGAGGCTACGAACAATCGTGAGCCCAGCTAAAGGGGACTTCAGAGAACTGGACAAAGTGGAAATGTGCTCCAACTGAAGACCTAAGTGTCACTTAGGACTCAAGGGGACAATAATAATAATAAAACCAACTTAACAGTTAATTCAGAACCACTTCTATTAATAGCAACGAATTCCCACTGCATAAAAGGTGTCTAGCCAATTAGGTAACAATCTAACACCCAAAGTGAATGGTGCTTAGTTCGAGTCCCAGTGAGAATATCACCACTCATTCACTGAGCTTACTTTCTCTGTCATGGGGATGCAGACAGATCAAGCTAATGAATCCCAAATGTATTGAAATGCGAGTACTGGATAACACTGGTAGACACAGTCGATCAAATGTCAATAAAATACTGTTTCTACCACTGAACTGTTGGCCTACCACTCAAACGGTCCAGGTATGATTCCTGGCAGATGGACTCCTAAACCTCGTTTAGTTCAATAGCCAATAAACTCAGAAAAGAGGGAAGACTGGATGTTGGGCTAGTTATCTCACCCGTCATAAATAACACCCCCGTTACTGAAACTTCGAAGGTTAAGCTTGAAGTCCTATGTTTCACTCGGAACCACCCCCATCTCCCCAAAAAATAATAATCAAAAACAAAAATCAGATTCAATCGATAAAAAAAGGAAAGGCAAATCAACTTACATCCATTCTAGTTTCTCTTAATTTCAATAAAGCTCTAGCTTCACCTTGTCTTGCAGCGAAAGCTTCCATTCTAAAATCAGGTTTTGATGTAGGCCAACCAAATGATTGTCTTAGTGAAGCTCTTAATCGACTCAGCCGGTCACCAAGTCTTTTTTCGCTCATTCCAGTCTCATATGGTTCTGTTTCAGAATGACATGATTCCGTCGGCGTCGGTGTATCGATTGAACCACGATTATTATTATTATTAAAATGAATTGTATCATTTGAGCATGGCGAGACTAATTCACTACGAAATCCATGCATTGTAACATGATCTGCAGCACTACTACGACTTCTACGTAATAAGGAAACAAATCCTCTTGGACGATTTGATTTTGAATCCATGTCAAGGTCATCTTCATCCTCAGGAACACCGGCACCACCGGGAGCACGACTTTTATCTCGACGAGAAGGTGATTTTGTCTGTTGATTTATATCTGATTGAAAGCTATACTGTGGTTGAGTTAAACGTCTACCACCAGAATTACTGGAATAATCGTAAGCATCTATTCCAATGCCGAGATTTGCTCTCCCTGAAGCTGGTGTTGTAATCCCGTCTCGACCGTCAGATGTAGTATGACTTGCTAAACTACAACCACTATCACTTTGTGGAGAATCCAATCCTGATCGTTGAATATTCCTCGTGTATTCACCATCCGTATCACTGGTAAAATGTGTTGGATAGGATTCATTTTGAAGACGTGAATACATTCGACTAGAGGCAGTATTATTATTGTTGTTGTTAGTGTTACTACGACTGTACATTGATTTGTTGCTGGATGGTGAAGCAATCTTCTGAGGATTTTCATCGCTTAAATACGGTGCCATTCTTTGATCTTCTACATCGGATAGATTGTGTTGTGGTGATGAGTGATGAGTATTACTCGATGAGGATGATGGAGGAGGGGGAGGATACTTTGCCGGTGAATTATTCTGACTTGTATTATTATTCGCTTGTGATGATGGTTTCTTCAAGGACAAACTTGTTGGTGATATAGTGACAGCATTGAAAAAATTCTCCATCTCAGGATCCTTTATAAAATACAAATAAAAGAAAAGAAAATGAGAAAGGGAGAAAGAGAAAATTAGCGACCCAATAGGAGTTAGAAAACAAGTATAGAAACTCAACGATACCATACCTGGCCCGTGTTCTAAGCGACAGAGACAATGTTAAACGCGAAACCTATGACTTGCTTTGTTGTTAATAACATAATTTAGGCTCTTTTATTTCTCTCTTATTTTATATTCTATAGTGAACTCCTTCTCAAACATACTTAGCTACCTAAATTATTAACATTGGCTTTCTCTTGTACTTTACTGTATTCCTTCTTTTGTGTATCTACTGGTTCTGCCTATATTAGCACTATGAGTATTACAAAATTTTCCTGTCATTAACCATCATGTAATTATTAATTTTTATGGTTGTTCTTTCTTATTTTTTATTTTTCTCGGCAATATTAACTGACAATCATTGGTCGTGAACGCCATTATCACCACCTTAAAAAATTTTGTATTATGCAGGATTACTCACACTACCACTACAAACACTGCATTAGACCTGACAATAAAAAACAAAACAACAACCCTGAAATGTTATTTTATGATTGTTTAGAGTTGTTTCAACCAAATTAACTGATCTTCTTGGCGATAATCATTCTTAAATATTATTTCATAACTTCTTGTATGACTATAGCTTTACTGTCACCATGCATAATCATATCATAGCTTCCAACACCCAATGCTGAGATATTATTTTATTGTTGTTTTATTTTCCTTTCTACTTCTTTTTTTCGCATTTTTTAAATTATTTTGTGTTTTTCCTGTTTGTTTTTTTGCTGTTGGTGTCTTTATATTTATTTATTTTTTTGAAATACTCCTTTTAAATGTTTGATAAAATTAGATGCAAATATTGTAGAAATGTGCTGAAAATTCCACACTGTACCACTAGTACTGTTTCTGGAATAAAGCAAATTATTATTATTATTAATTATCTCATAGATTTGGTTCCCTTGATAAATTTCTATAGAGAAAGAAAGACCAGATTTGCATTTGTTATTACATTTTTCCTTTACGTTCCCAGAGGCTTAAAGTTTCAGTAGCAGTGGTGTTTATTTTTACGGGGAAGGGTTGCCACCCTTATCCCCAACGTTTCCTCTTTACCATTCCTATTACCGGTTTAGGGAGGTACAGGAATGCGTCTGCCGAGGATGGAACCCCGAGCCAAATGTATGGCTGGCGATAATTTTACTGCCATACCACTGACGAACACATGTCATCGACTGACGAAAGAATATCAAATTACTAATACGTCGTAATTTCAGGCTCTTCGTCGATGGATATTTAGGACTTCCAGCCTTCTAGGTTATAAAGTATCTCATGGCCACCCTACTTTTGTATTGGTCCACCGTTGGTAATCCTATATACATTGCTGAAGAATCTTAACAGAACAATTAAATTATATCCTCATACGATCTAAAGAACTTGACATATCAATGAATGATGCGAAAACTGACTTCCTTCAGAATTCATGAGTCATTAAATTCCAGTTCAGGTGGTGCTGAATGATCAACAGGTTTCGTTTTGTGGCCTGCATACCTCAGGTTTCATCCCTAGTGGGATCATGGATTTCCTTTATTTCCTAGAGGTACATAAGGCTTCAGCCACACGTCCCTATTGCATTCGGTTCTCGGCCAACTTTTTCACCACCTGGCTCCACGTCTGCCCACATCATTTCATCTTCTCTTCACATCACCTCCTCCATGTCACCTCACCCTAGCACTGACGACCAACTCGCCGCTTCCAATTCAGGTTACACTCGAGTGATGGCCTGGCATGTGATGTCATTTGATGGTTTGTTTTCCCAGAGTGTAGCAAATCCACCTCGATTTCTTCCTGCATATTTCTTGCACAGTTGGTTCCTGCTGGGTTGGTTGGTTCTTTGATTGCCAGAGATCCCTCCCTATTGCTGGTCTTTTCCGGTCGGCCATCTGTTCTTGAGCGAAGTATTGGGCAGAGTTAGCTGTTGATGAAGGTGTATAGTTTGTTCGAAGTGCCTATCATGAGGCGGCGACGTCCCAAGTCTCTGATCCGTATAGAGTAGCACTAACTTTACACTGGAGTTGAAAATCCGGATCTTATTTTCCATGCTGAAGACTACTGTTGACCTCCATGCAGACTTGAGAGAAATGAAAGCTTGCTTTGCTTTCCTGACTGTCGCCTTGATATTCTCATCAGTTCCGTCCGCCCGTAGGTGTAACGATGCTTCCCAGGTAGGTAGGTGGGTAAAGGAGGTTGCTTCTTTCAGATTTCTTCCATCTATGCTGACTGTTGTCTGTTGTTGTTGTTGCTGTTGGCCAGGAATCTTCATCATCACCTCTGTTTTCTCTATGTTTACGTGGAGGAAGTCCTATCTTCTCTGAATGCTTCTTTTGCCAACTTGTTGCATTTATTCTTTCCAGGATTCTTATGTATTAGTTGAGTATAAAAATTACACCGTTTTACAGTAAACAGCCCAGATAAAGAAAATTTGGGGTAAATCCGGGTTTGTAATAAGGTATTTTTTAATTACTATTATTATTTTATTTTATTCCTTTACGTTCCCAGTAGAAAATTTGGCTTCAAACTAGAGGCTTGGAGTTCCGGTAGCAGTGAATAACCTTCTTTCTTAACCAGTTTTATTACTGGCATTTCGAGGTGAAGAAGTGCGTCGGGTGGGAATCGAGCCTCAAACCACATGCAGCGTGGTTGGCGAGCATTCTATCGCTGTACCACCGACGCACATTTTCGGGAGGGGGTAACTCAATGCAAAATGTTGGGTAAATGCATCATCATTTCCTCCTCCCCTGAAAATCCCTGAAATTGCCTGAAAATTTCCCATTCAGGATGAAATCCTCATTTATTGTCATATAATGTTGATCATTTCTCGTTCGATAGAACTTTTTTGTTTCAAATGACACTCAGTCAACAAGATGGAGAATCACAGCAACAGAATAAAGTTAGTGGATACATTTAAGTAGACTCAGAGAGACAGAAAGAGGGACAAACACAAGATACTTCCCTTTACTTAATTAAATAGATACTAAATGTATCCCTCAAATAGCCATAAACATTCACACACACACACACAAAGTGTTATTGTTCTATCCTATCAAATAACTAAGCGAGCACTTGTTAAATCATTTGTTACCCTAGCAACGTACAAGGTGTCCATTTTGAAACGTTTAAAACAAATTTATCTGTGCATGAAGCATTGTTTAGTCTACCAACACACACACGCAAACATGTAGATATCAAGATATTTTGATAAGTATCTTAGAAGACTTGCTTACTGATTCTGATAAAACACAAAAAAAACATAAAAAACAATCAATTAGCTAACTTTAGAATGTTTGTAACATGTTTTAAAGGAATGTTTATTTTTGACTAAAAAGGCAGGCAACAACAAAAAGGCAAAATAAAACAACGAAAATAAAACGATATCCTTTTGTAAATACTGAATGTTGAACAGTTAGTCAGTAAGTCCATCAATCAATTAGTGTATAGATAGGCAAGTAGATAAAATAGGAGACAGATGCACGAAATTAGAGTAGGGTAGAATACAGGTAGAGAGATTAACTCTGTTAATCATCTGATGTTTAATCTTTTGGGTGTTATTTTTCCTCAGAAAAGAAAGTGGAAACGAAAAAAGGATTTAAGATTTATTATTATTATTATTATTTCCTTTAGTTTAGAGAAACATAGGGCTTCAGCCGCACGTCTCCGTTGCGTTCGGTTCTCTACCAACGTTTTCACCTGGCTCCATGTCTGCCCACATGCTATTATCTCCTCTTCACATGACCTCCTCCACGTCACTCCACACTCACACTCACGACTAACTCATCGCTTCCCATTCGGGTTCCACTCAACGGATGGCCTGGAGTGTGATGTCACTTGATGACTTGTTTTCTCAGAGTATGGCCAATACACACCTACATTTCCTCCTGCATATTTCTTGCACAATTGGTTCCTGCTAGGTTGGTTCGTTCACTGCCAGAGATCCCTCCCTACTGATGATCTTTTCTGATCGGCCATCTGATCTTGAGTAATTGAGCAAAGACAGGTGTTGATGAAGTTCTGTAGTTTGTTCGAAGTGGCCTTCGTGATGTGACGAGGCATGGCACCAATCCTCTGATCCGTATAGAGTAGCACTGACTTCACACTGGAGCTGAAAATTCTGATCTTATTTTTCACGCTGAGTACTGCTGTTGATCTGCAGACAGACTTGAGAGTAAAGAAAGCTTGTCTTGCTTTCCCAATGATCCTCGCTTTGATATCCTGATCAGTTCCATCCGCCTGTAATTGAAACGATGCTTCCCATGTGGGTAAGTAGATGAAGGAGGCTGCTTCTTTCAGATTTTTCCCATTTATGTTGATTTCTTACTTTACTTTAATTACTTACTTACTTACCTATCAACTTACCTACTCAATGACTCATTTATTTACTTACTTGCATATTTAACTAATCATCTTTCTTAGGTGCTCACGCATTTATTTAATTACTTAGTTCCCTCCTGATTTACTTGCCTACTTGCCTAATTACTTACTTACTTGCCTACCCACATGCTAACTGACTTACTTACTTACTAACCTAATGCTCAACATTGTTATTTTTTATGTTCTTTGTTTAAAATTTAAAAATCTAACATGACGAAATGAACATTATCAATGAGTTTAACATGATTAATTCTCTCCAACAGATATTAGATGTCAAAATATTATTATTGTTATTATTATGGTTCCCTTGGGTTCCTAGTGGAACATAGGGCTTCAACTACACGTCTCCACTTGCTTCTGTCTTCTGCTGTTCTTTTGACTTGCATCCATGTTATTCTATACTGTTTCAACTCCTCTTCACACGACCTCCTCCATGTCACCATTGAACGTCCCACTTGCCGCTTCCCTTTCGGGTTCCACTCGAGCGTTGGCCTGACGCGCGATGTCACCGAACGGCCTCCTCAGTGAGTGTCCAATCCATCTCCACTTTCTCCTGTATA